GGTGGTGGTGGTGGGGGGGGGAAGAGGAGGGGGGGAACAAAATCAATCAGAACAAATTAAGATCTTGAGATACAATGCGTCATGAATCATAAACGAAGATATCATAGCATGTATAATATCTGCTGCCGATAAATGTTAAGAACAGGAATTTATTCAAATAAATATTCAAAAAGTATATTCAAATCAATAAAATTCATTAAATAAATCAATTAAATAATTATTAGGTTTAATGTTAAATAATAAATAAGTATTATAAGTATAAGATTAAATTCGGTATTTACGTTATGCAGAGATATATGCCATAAAAAAATAGTGATGTTAATTTGCATCTTTGTTATATTAATATTGTACTGTGCAACTTTGTTATATTAATATTGTATTGTGATTTCAGCTTTTTATTATTAAAGCTTTTTATTATTAATAAAGCCAATCTGAACAAAATTATTTTTTAAATGTAAACAATGAATGTCAAGTTTATATATCCTTTGTTATTTTTGATTTGTATGAAAAAATACTTCGTAGAAAAATTTTGATATATAAAAAGTTTATTTTATAAAAAAATTTATATGTATCAAACAATAAATCTACTTTTAGTCAATACAAAAAATGTAATTAAGAAGTAACACTAACTTCTAATTTCATAAATTAACAAATTTTACAAAGATAAAAAAAGATTATACAGGGTGTACCGCGAGACTTCTGTTATTAGTATAATTGCAAAAATTAATATCACGGTTCTTATTGCGAATATCGCTAAATAAGTATGAGACTTTTGTATTCATCTCGATCTCATCTATTTTCCTATGAGCGGTGGCAGAAGTTTCGCAGTACACCTTATATATATACATATATATATATATATATATATGTGTGTGTGTGTGTGTGTGTGTGTGTGTGTGTGTTGTGTGTGTTGTGTGTGTGTGTGTGTGTAATTTTTTTTTGCTTTGTAAACGCCCCCACAATATCACATTACCACCGCCAAATTTTATCGTAGATTTAAGATATTTTACATTAAATCGCTATCCAATAGGACGTCGCACGTTATTTCTGAAGTAATTCCGAATAAATTGAAGTTACTTTCGTCACTTCATAAAATTTTTGTCCAATCGATAACAGGCCAGTTAATATGTTCTGCAACGAATTTCAATCAATCTTTCTTTTTAGAAATAAATGATTTCTTACATGCTTTGCATGAAAAAAGATTATTTTCATCTAAACGACGGCTAATTTTCTCCGTGCTAATATTTTCGAGACGCAATTGGTTCTTAATTTCGGAAGCAATGTAAAATGGATTGCATTTAGAGAGCTTTGCAATTCGGCGATCTAGTTTTTGATCCATTTTTCGCAGTCTGCCAGTTCATCATGCCGTTTTAACAGTTTCATATTCTTGAAATTATTTTATGATTTTTGTAATAATGCACTATTCACACCAAACACTTTTGCAATGTCAATTTTTCTCTGATTTTTTTTAAACATATTAACCAATTTTTCTTCACTTCTTGGTTTCAGTTAAATGTTGCCTTTTTGCCATATTTAACATAACTTATGATACGAACTACATTTGTTGTCAGAGAGAAGACTAAACTTTTCCAAACATGTTTGTTTACATTGCGTATTCGATTTTGATTACGAGAAATCTTTGTTTCTTAATTTTTGCAGTAAGTGTACACACACACACACACACACACACACACACACACACACACACACACACACACACACACACCACACGCGTGCGCGCGCACGAATATACAGGATGTCCCAAAACGCATTTTCTTTTAAGAGTAGATTCTTTAGAACATTCTAATTTTTCACGAAAATTCTAATATGAAAATGTCAAAGCTATAATAATTTTTAAATTATTGACAATTAAAATTCACTAATCACAGAGCTGATATTTCGCGCGCTCAGACATGGTAATATGATAAGTGGTAAAGGTTCCACCACGAGGGTTCTCTTACAATATCGAGAATATCACAGAAATATACAATAATATTCTTATTAAGAAATTATTTCTGTTTCGGAACTTATTTGTATATTACACAATTAATATCGCAACATAACATCGTAAAATATCTGTTTAATAACGAAATTGTATCATGTGATAGTTGTCAAAAAAAATTCATATTTATTTACATAGTGTACTCCAAATGAGGGAGTTTGGGACACCCTGTATATATACTCAAAACTCCCGCATTTGGAATACTACGTGATTCTTTATGCTAAAAAGAAACAACTTTTTTTCTTTAGCAAAATTACGTGCGACGAATAGTTTTTACAGTGGATTAGATTAAAAGTGACGAATGAGCGCACGTATGTGCGTAATGGTCAAGGCTGGAGTGCGTTCCTCAGGCGCGACCTAGTATTTAATCCTTGATTTTACGTACTATATTGTTTAAAATATAATACAAGTTAACAAAATAAGTATTGTTTTCATCCTTTACGTAACGATTCAATAAAAAAAGTCTAATTTTGTAGCATCTGGAAATAAAAATAAATGTAAATTATATGTATGAACTGAGCATTATTTTAACTATTTTTTTGTCGTATACGCAATTGCATATGAATATAAAAAAAATACTGAATTTAACGAATACTTATTAATTACGTGAGTACGTAATGACGAAAAGTCAAAAAATTGATTTTTTCATAATAGTATTTAAAGATAAAATATTTAAATTTATAATTTAAGATATTTTGAGAGAGCTAGTTCCCTCTTTATTTTCTCAGAAAAAATTAACAAAAGATTAAACAAAAATATTTATCTTTATAATATTATTATAAATTACAATAATTACATAACTTCATAAAATTTTAATAACGATTAATTTAATTATTAAGAACGAATAATTTTAATAACGATATCTTGAAACTTTTTCACATATTTCGTAAATGTGTAAAATTATTTCTAATATTTTGTGTCAGAGAAGTTAAAAAGATTATAAAAGATTAAAATTATTTAAATTAGAAAAGTATGAAAAATTATATTTGATAAAATAAATAATTTTGATAATTATGATCTAGACGTTATGTAAATAATTGTTTTAAAAATATGTCAAAAATATTATAAAAATATTTTAAATATTTTGGAATAACTGTATTTAAAGTATTATACATATTGCGTATATGCTCTGCAAGAAATTTTTCTTCATAAAAAATAATTTGATTAAATTATTTTTTGATTAAATTATTTTTATAATTGTTCAAAAGTTCAAAAGTTCAATTTCTCGTTATTAAGTGTTACATATTCCGTTAAAAGAAAACATTCTATGGATTAAACGGTTAAAATAATAAAGTAGAAAACACAATTCGTAAGTATTTGTGATGTAGAGAGATATTCGTAAGTTTTAATAATAATAGTTGTAAACTCTGAAAAGGGCTGATTAAAAGTTTAAATTTATAAAAGATGTTCGAAATGCAATTCTCTTATTTGTATGCAGGCATTGACTTTGTGAATAAAAGTATCTTGCATAAGCTGCCGCATTTCCGGCATGATACGACGTATATTTAATGGTAAAGCTTCCAAAATAAAAAATAATTAAAAAATAAATTAACGAAAAAAAGAAATTAATGAATAATTAAAATTAACAAAAAATTTAACGAAGTCTAAATAATTCATTAAATTCAGTATTTTTTATTATTATATGCAATTGCGCAGTAATTAAAATAATAGAATGCTAATAAATAATATGGTGAATGCTGCTTCATACACTATATTATTTACATTTATTTTTATTTCGAGATAATGCTACGAAATCAGACAATTTTTTATTTATAACGGTCCTCGCGATGTCGTGCGAGTTCGGATGCGCGGACGTGCTCGTCGGTTGCCGGATTCGGAAATAATAAAAGTTAGCTGACTCAGATATTGGATAAATATATTTATTTAATTCGGTAATGCGGATACACAGCAGTATAGATTCGCTTAGCGCGATGTTGATATATGTTACGACTTGTTCGTTGTGCATCTTGCGGTGCGCGTAAAGTATGCGGGGTGCACTCAGAGTGCGAAGCGCGTGCGTCGGGACGAGTGATTTGGTTCGCGTGCGGCGGGATCTATTGTAGGCGCGTGACTGGTTAAACGGTGGTTCGTCGATGGCGCTGGTAATGCACGACGCGTTGTTCGCTGTTGCCGCGTAATAGATGCGCTTTCAAATGTCACGAGATGTCATGAGAATGCTCGCTTCTGCTTGTGGCTTTTACATGAGAGACAAGTATGCTTGTCGAGGATCGAGAATGCTCCGTCTCGTGTGTTTGTGTGATGGCAGGAGTGATGAGACCGAGAATGCTTCGTCTCGGAGTTGGAAAATAGGAGAAACGAGTAACAAGTATGCTTGATAGGAACTGAACATGCTCCGTCCCGGTTTGCTCGTAGAAGGAAGCGTTGAGACTAAGAATGCTCTGTCTCGGAGAAGCGAGAGCTTAAGTATGCTTGACAGGGACCCTGTCCCAATTTCTCACTTTTTGCACAGGATGATATCAGTGTCAAGTATGCTCGGCGGAGATCAGGAATGCCTGATCGTTTCTGAAGACGATTCGGAGAATTGAATCAGTCTGGTTTTTTTACCGGTGATCGACCGGGTTTATATACCCGCCGAGTTTTGTTATTTTGTAGTTTGCAAAATAACGCGGATCGTCGGCGGTATTTGACACGCACGTGACGAGTGCGTGTCGTGTGCACGCGCAACGGGCGGTATGTTCGATCTCGCGCGCGCGATGATCGATGTGTTTGGTATCGAGCCTGATCGCACTTATAGCTAGAATGGTGCGGGAGGCGTATCGTTACCCCTCGCTTTACGAAGGAACGACAAATAATCAAACGATGTAAAATTATTAACGAATATATTTACATAAATTCATGGACATATTTACATTGGCCACTTCGATCAAATCGTAACGTGAATCTCTTACCCCCGATGTGGGCCTTGTATACGAGGGATACATGTGCGCCGAAGTGGGGCACCGTTATACTTGTCCCGTCGCTCACGTCGACGTTGGTGGTGGCACAGAGTCGTATACGGGGCGGACGGCGGTAGCCCTTGGTGCGTCATGTTTGGTCCTCGGGGACCGTGTCTCTATGATGAGGCGGTGGAACGGAGGTAACAGCACGTCGAACGCTATTTGAGAGCCAGATTGACTGTTCGGCCTGGGCCCGTTGGAGCCGTCGTCTGGTCGGTTGCCGGGATCATCGGGGCAGCTGGTTGGCTGACAAGCGGCCGCATCGCCTCGGTGTGTTTAGCGGTCGGACTGTTGATGTGCGGACGGTCACCCCTGCGGGCCTGGCAATCTGCTGGCTGAGCATCTCGGGCTGTTTCGGCGGCGGCGGAAACTCCGTAGGAGTGCTGGCTGGCGGATCGTCGACCAAATCGAGGTCAGTAATGTCGCCGAATAGTTCCGCCAATTTGGCGGCACAGCGTGGTTCCAGGTGCTGGCTTCAGGCGACGTGACGGCGGTGGTGGAGGCGATTGGAGCAAAGCCTCCCACTTCCGGACCTGCTGAGCTGTTGATCGCTCCACAGAAGTGCCGGGCTTCGGTACTCGCCGTGCGTGTGTAGACCGCGTGGTCGGGCCGGACGATTCCATGCGGACAGGGCTGCCATGGAGCAAATGTTCCCACAGGATCTCGAACTCCGAGTTGTATCTCCCGGAGTTTGACTTCGGCGACAGAATCGATCCAAGTCATTGGTGTCCATGCTAGTTGCTCGGTGATAAATTTCGCACGTGGCTATTTGAAATTTCATCTCGGATGCGGCGATATTTATATCCGAATAGTTCTCGGTAGATTATCCCTCTCAGGCGATTTTAATCGCGGATAGCATCGTCATTGGGCAATTCGGAATTGTTTTCGCTAATGTTTTTAGTTCCGGGTCGCTAACGTTTTCGTCTTTGTTTTCGGTCGGCGCGGGCTTGAGGTCCTGTACGTAAGATATGTACGTGACGGTTTCACTTTCTCTGTTCGTCGCACAGGTTAAAAATAACGGGCGATATGATTTTTCATATGATTAACGGACTGATAAATTTCGGACAAAGTTTCGCGGCAACCGCGTCTGTTTTATTCAATAATAAATGGAATACGCCGGATACGTGCGACGGATGGAGAAATTCGGCTGGATATTCTTGTGTGACCTTGTGCAAGGCAGTTTTCGCAATTTCGCACGTATCGAGCGATATCCAACGAACATCCCGAGCCAATAATAGAAGCGGGCCGTTCGTGCGATCGTTTTGACTATGCCTAAGTGCCCGGCGGTTCATCGTGCATTCGATGCAACACTTCGGGTCGGCGCTCGCGCGGCACGCATTCCTTCCATTGGTCCGCGACCGACGTGTCACAGAAATCAGTCGAATGAAACAACAGATGATATAGTCGGTTCTAGCGGATGCGATAGTCTTTGAAATCGCCCGATTTGTGGCGGACCTTTTTGAATTGCCGGCGATATCACGGGCAGGTGACGCGGGGACGGACGGCACTGATAACGGGACATCTTGAAAGGGTATCTGCTACGCGGTTGAGCTGGCCTCGGTGGTATTTTACGTCAAACGCGTACTGTTGGAGCTCGAATGCTCAACGTCCGAGCCGTCCGGTCGATGACTCCAGTCGCTGGAGCTGGAGTTCGAGATCCTGTGGGAACATTTGCTCCATGGCAGCCCTGTCCGCATGGAATCGTCCGGCCCGACCACGCGGTCTACACACGCACGGCGAGTACCGAAGCCCGGCACTTCTGTGGAGCGATCAACAGTCATCGAAGAGTTTGATGATCGGTCATGACTGTGAATTCATATTCTTTTAGATAATTCCGCATGTGGCGGATCCCCCACACGCCAGGCACTCGAGCTCTGTGGCGCTATAATTGCGCTCAGTCCCGTTTAAGATACAACTCGCGTAAGCAATTACGCGTTCTCTCTCCTCGAATTGCTGAGTTAATACGCCCCGAGGCCGGACGAACTTGCATCGGTTTATAATATAAAATCGCTTGAAATCAGGACCCAGTGAGTATCGAAGCGGAAGTTAGCGCTTGTTTATAAGCTTTCGAAAGGCGTCGTCCTCCCTTGAGCTCCATTACCACTTCGCGTTTTTTTTCGTTAGCTTAGTTAATGGGGCCGCAAAGATAGAGAAATTCGGTATGAAATGTCGTACCAGGAGGCTATTCCCACGAATTGTCTTATCTGTCGGATATTCGTGGGCGCCCAATGTGTGACAACGCGTACTTTATCTAGCTCAGTTCGGATGCCTTGTCAGTCTACAATATGTCCCAGGTATTTTAGTTCGGTTACGTAGAAGTGACATTTATCGAAGCTCAGGCGGAGATGGGCCTCGCGCAATCTTCGAAATACTTCCGCGAGGTGTTTGAGATGGCTTTCAAACGAAGGGCTGACTATATCGTCCAGATACACGAATACGTGGGGTTCCAGCTCGAGGCCTAATACGCTATCTAGCAGGCGTTGGAAGATAGCCAGGGCGGAATACAATCCGAATGGCATTACCCGGAATTGCATTAAACCCCGGCCTGGTACGGTGAAGGCGGTGATTGGACGGCTTTCAGATGATAGGGGTACCTGCCAGTATCCTTGTTTAAGATTAAGGGTTGATAAATATTTGGCCCCGCGAAGTTTATCTAGTGTGGCTACTATATGCGGCAGGGGGTACGCGTCGCGTAACTTCGTTAACTTTTCGGAAGTCGATGCAAAAACGTGGCTTGCTTTCTTCCTTCTTTTTGACGATTACAACTGATGAGCTCCATGCGCTCTTAGAGTCCATGCATTTCAATTACATCCTCCATTATATCCTCCAATTATAGCCTCCATTTCTCGCACTTCGTCGTCGATGATACGTTGCATTGCAAGGTTTCGGGGTCGGTATCGTTGTTTAATTGGAACGTCTATTTTAACTCAAATGGTATGCAAGATTTTATTAATCGGACCGCGAACGTCGTTGAGTTTCATTAGTTCATCGGAAAGAAATTTTTGCAAGACGGCGGTTTTCTTGCACAGTCCACGTCGCCAGTCCGGATGTAATGGGTCATGTGTGCGGGAAATGATCGGAAGGATAATTGTGCGGCTGTGGCGGGATAATGAGATTCAGTCGGGCTCATATGTCTGTTCCGATGAGCATCTGGCTTTCGAGCTTTTATGGGGAAGGTGTGGAAGGTGTGTTCGTAATGTTACCCCAGTATTTCTAGCGGTAGCTTAACTTCTCTTAGTGTCATCGTGAGTGTGCCATCGGCTAAGTGCACCTGCCCCTCCCTCTTGATCAGTCGTATCCGCAGCGTTTTTGCTATTTTCGCGGTCTCGTTTATAATTGAGATCTCGGACCTCATGTCTAGGAGTGCGCTAATTCAGTAACCGCCTAGAAACACGGCAAGATGGGACCGTGGGCCTATATTCTAGGCCTGCTCGATTTGCGGCCGGGATGTGTTCGGTGTAGCCCCGGCCGCGGATGACAGTCTTTTGTAAGCACCCCGTGTTTTCCGCATTGAGAACAGAATTTTCTCAGCGGTCTTTTACAATTAAAGCGGTCGTATCCTTGTTTACATCGCCAACAAGTACTGTTTCGGTCGTATACAGGTGCAACGGTTACAATATTGGCGGTTCCATGGGTAAATTGTTTCTTCCCGTTTTCCTTTTGGGTGCGAGTTTTTTGAATATCTTCGTATTCCTTGGCTTGATCCACGAGGTCGTATATGTCGATGGTATCAGTGAGTCGGACGTAAATTTTATATTCGGCACGTATGTTCTCGTACAATCGGTCGACTTTTTCTTGTCGTGAAAAGTTTTCTGCGCGGCATATTATTGTGAGCATCACGGTAGAATACTGTTTAAATGTCTCGTCGCGTTTTTGTTGACGGTCCTGAATTTCATGCGTTAGATGAACCTGGAAACATTTCAGTATTGTCGTCGAAAAGCGTGCAAGAATTTTCCTTATGCTGATCATTCGTTCACGTTATTGCGATACCAAGCGAGTGCGTTTCCTCGTAATATTTCGGATAATTCATCTAACATGGATGCATCCGTATATTCGTATTGTCGTTGTAGTTTCGTGATTCGAGGAAGGAGAGGGTGTCGCGTTCGCCGAAATGGCACCTCCATTTTCTCATTTGGTTCATAATTTTTGCATGTATCAATTCATCGGGCGGGACGGAAAGTGCTTCGGAAAATATGGGCAATGTTTTGTTCGAGACTGGTTGAGCATCCGGCTTTTAAGTAGCCATAGTGCTATGTTTAACGGTCTGGCGGAGCTGACGGTGCAGTTCGTCGAGTGTATCGACTGGTTCGACGTTTAACAGTCGCGCGAATCGCTTCAGCTTTTGAAAGTGTATCCACTTGGTCAACTTTTATTAACTTTTATTAACTTTTATTAACTTTTATTAACTTTTAAAACAGTCCCTGTTCGGGCGCCATGTAATGATCCGTCCTCACCCGCGATATCGTGCGAGTTCGGATGCGTGGACGTGCTCGTCGGTTATCGGTTTGGAAGTAATAAAAGTTAGCTCAGATATTGGATAAATATGTTTATTTAACTTGGTAATGCGGATACACAGCGGTAAAGATTCGCTCAGCGCGGTGTTGGTATGTGTTGCGACTTGTTCGTTGTGCGTCTTGCGATGCGCGTAAAGTATACGGAGTGCACTCGGAGTGCGAAGCGCGTGCGTCGGGGCGAGTGATTGATTCACGGCGAGGCCTACTGATCGCATAGGCGCGTGATTGATTAAACGGCGGTTCATCGATGGTGCTAGTATTGCACGACGCGTTGTTCGCTGTTGCCGCGTGATAGATGCGCTTTCAAATGTTACGAGTGAGAATGCTCGCTCCTGCTTGTGGATTTTACACGAGAAACAAGTATGCTTGTCGAGGACCGAGAATACTCCGTCCTGTGTGCTCATGTAATGGCAGGAGTGATGAGACCGAGAATGCTCCGTCTCAGAGTTAGAAGATAGGAAAAACAAGTGACAAGTATGCTTGATGGAGACTGAAAATGCTCTGTCCCGATTTTTCACTTTTGCACAGGATGATAGTGTCGAGTATGCTCGGCGGAGATCAGGAATGCCTGATCGTGGTTTCTGAAGACGGTTCGGAGGATTGAATCAGTTTTTTTTACCGGGGATCGATCGGGTTTATATACCCGTCGAGTTTTGTTATTTTGCAGTTTGCAAAATAACGCGGGTCGTGGGCGGTATTTGATACGCACGTGACAAGTGCGTGTTGTGTGCGCGCGCAATGGGCGATGTGTTCGGTCTTACGGGCGCGCGCCACGATCGGTATGTTTGGTATCGGGCGCGGGGCCCGGTCGTATTTATAGCTAGAACGATGCGCGGGAGGTGTATCGTTACATATTAAATCGTTAAAGGATGAAAACAATATTTATTTTATTAACTTTTATCATATTTTGAACAATATAATGAAGTCGTGAAAGATTAGGTACCAGGCCGCGCCGGTCCTGATCGCTACGCACATACGCGCGCTTATTCGTCACTTTTAATTTGATTTACTGTAAAAATTACTCGTCGCACGCAATGTTGCTGAAGGAAAAAGTTGTTTCTTTTAGTTGTTTCTTTTTATAAAAAAATCACATAGTGTACTCCAAATGCGGGAATTTTGGGACACCCTGTATGTATGTGTGTGTGTGTGTGTGTGTGTGTGTGTGTGTGTGTGTGTGTGTGTGTGTGTGTGTGTGTGTAGTGTAT